TGATCTTCATATTAACATTGTAGTGTTATACAACAGCATTAAAAGACAATTTAACTTAATCTAATCTATTTATGTCGTTATAATCTAATTCCAGTTCAAACAGAATAACCTACTGTCAACATAATTATAGAGTGTGATTTCTTTTCAACTCAAAATATTTTCTAAATAACGAAATATAAAGTTATTAGGGAGAAAAACCCGTCTTGATAACATCAAGACGGACTGCTGGTAAAATATACGACAGGTCTGGACCACTCATGAATTTTGTTTGTATCTGAAAAAAATCGTAGAATAAGAAAACATTGGTGAATGCCACAAATTCTCCTAAATCACTCGTACGCACAACTTAAGAACAAATCAGTGCGTACGAACGGTTCTTGCATGAGGCCCAATGAAACCTGAGCAATTAAAAACGTCTAAAAAGGCTCAAACAGATTCATCCAGAAAGACGTCTAATCTTGCTCTTATCACTCTCTCCTGACAAAGATTTCTGTGGATTATAAGCTCCAACTTCCAAAGGCTCCTTTAGAAAAGGACACGCCCTGTCTGCAGCTCTCAGCTAAAAAGCAAGACAAACTCAGGATTTGTTCCAGTAATCCTGCTGCAGAGCAGGGCTGGTTCACAGAGTAAGTTATGGGGGTAAATTAACTCAGAATAATAGATATGCACAGAGTTACCCCAGAACTTACTCAGGATTTCCTCTTATCCTGCTTTCTGAAACTGGGCTCAGGTGTTTCTGTGCCTCATTACAACCAGTTAAATTAGTTTCTGGAAGTTTTGTTTTTGACAAAATAAATAAAAAAGTTTAGTTTCTTTTACTTAACCTCCACGAGTCCGAACCCTTCTAAAACCGTGACATCGAAGGCCATCTTGAATCTGTTCTGTTGTGTTTTTTCTTCTTTTTGTTGTGTTAACGTCACGGTGACAAAGAAAAAGATATATTTTCCTACATTGCTTTTATTTCCTTGAGCGCGTTGCGGAAACCCTCCACACAGACCTTCCCGTCGGGTCGCTTCATGGACGCCAGCTTCCAGGTCTCCTCGAACGCCTCCTCGGAAATGTTCACACCGACGTTCCTGAAGATCTCTGCGATCTGCGGGAAACGGGTTGAAAAACGGACATTTTAGAACCTTTTTGTAAAAAAAGAGAATATTTTACAAAACGTAGAGCTGGTGTGTTAACGCTTATGATGGGAACAAAAGATTATAAGTTAAACTGAGATTTATTCAACAGGATATACAGTTGTGGTCAAAAGTTTACATACACTTGTAAAAAAACATAATGTTATGGCTGTCTTGAGTTTTCAATAAGTTCTACAACTCTTATTTTTCTGTGATAGAGTGATCGGAACACATACATGTTTGTCACAAAAAACAGTCATAAAATTTGGTTCTTTCATAAATTTATTATGGGTCTGCTGAAAATGTCACCAAATCTGCTGGGTCAAAAATATACATACAGCAACATTAGTATTTGGTTACATGTCCTTTGGCCATTTTCACGGCAACTAGGCGCTTTTGGTAGCCATCCACAAGCTCCTGGCAAGCTTCAGGTCGAATGTTTGACCACTCTTCTTGACAGAATTGGTGCAGTTCAGCTAAATGTGATGGTTTTCTTGCATGAACCTGTTTCTTTAGCACTGTCCACATGTTCTCAATGGGGTTTAAGTCAGGACTTTGGGAAGGCCATTCTAAAACCTTAATTCTAGCCTGGTTTAGCCATTCCTTTACCACTTTTGATGTGTGATTTGGGTCATTGTCTTGTTGGAACACCCAACTGCGCCCAAGACCCAACCTTCGGGCTGATGGTTTTAAGTTTTCCTGCAGAATTTGGAGGTAATCCTCCTTCTTCATTATCCCATTTACTTTCTGCAAAGAACCAGTTCCACTGGCAGCAAAACATCCCCAGAGCATAATACTACCACCACCATGCTTGACAGTAGGCATGGTGTTCCTGGGATTAAAGGCCTCACCTTTTCTCCTCCAAACATATTGCTGGGTGTTGTGGCCAAACAGCTCAATTTTTGTTTCGTCTGACCAGAGAACTTTCCTCCAGAAGGTTTTATCTTTGTCCATGTGATCAGCAGCAAACTTCAGCCGAGTCTTAAGGTGCCTTTTCTGGAGCAAGGGCTTCTTTCTTGCACGGCAGCCTCTCAGTCCATGGCGATGTAAAACACGCTTGACTGTGGAGACTGACACCTGTGTTCCATCAGCTTCCAAATCCTTGCAGACCTGCTTCTTGGTGATTCTTGGTTGACTCTTGACCATCCTGACCAATCTCCTCTCGGCAGCATGTGATAGCTTGCGTTTTCTTCCTGATCGTGGCAGTGACACAACTGTTCCATGCACTTTATACTTGCGTATAATTGTCTGCACAGTTGCTCTTGGGACCTGTAGCTGCTTTGAAATGGCTCCAAGTGACTTCCCTGACTTGTTCAAGTCAATAATTCGCTTTTTCAGATCCACACTGAGTTCCTTTGACTTTCCCATTGTAGCTTTTGTAGCTGACTCTAATCACTGGGTCAAATGAGCCCTATTTAAATGGGCTCATGAGAAGTCAACAGCTGTAGTCAATCAGAATCACTTACAAGAAGTGAAGAGGCCATGACATGAAGCTAATTTGATTGACACAACTCGCTACATCACCAAAATTGACAAATTTTGTTGCTGTATGTATATTTTTGACCCAGCAGATTTGGTGACATTTTCAGCAGACCCATAATAAATTTATGAAAGAACCAAATTTTATGACTGTTTTTTGTGACAAACATGTATGTGTTCCGATCACTCTATCACAGAAAAATAAGAGTTGTAGAACTTATTGAAAACTCAAGACAGCCATAACATTATGTTTCAGTGTATGTAAACTTTTGACCACAACTGTATTTAACTTAATCTAATCACTAAATAAAATATGTATGACAACATATCAGAGCACCAACAATCAATGAAAACCTCCTTTAACCTGATATTTTCAGAGCTTTGTTCCCTGTAAATAAAAAAGTGTACCAATGTTACAGTTTCTACTTCTGCTTGTAGGTCTGTCAGCTCAGCTCTGTTTATAAATCAGAACAATCCGATCTTTCAGACTCCAGAACCGGACCTCCCGGGCCAGAATCACCTCGCCCTTGGTGCGGGGTTGCAGGAAGTGCTCTGCGTGGACGCCTCGAGCAGCAGAGACCGACGGGTTCAGGAGGTCTGCGGCTGTGGATGCATCGCCGTAGTTTCTGGAGTCGCCGACCCGCTTGACACGAGGAAGCGGGAGGTCGGAGCGCACGGTCGGGGTCCCGAAGGCACGGCCGTCTGAAAATCAGAGGTTTAGGTTAAAATCATCACAAACTTAATATTAAATACAAACAGTTCTCATAAAAAAGTTGTTCTGAGTTCCTCCTAATTTTAGTGATGAATTCATTTATCAAAACGTTCAGCTCCTTTATGATAATCCTGCTAAGACTTTTGGTATTTCAGATGTTTTTAGCTTTTTAGCCACTTTTTGAGCCATTAAAAATGAATGAAGCTGTTTTCAACATCCTTAAAATCCTTTAAAATATTTCTAAATCTTTACAGAACCTGACACATTTTGTTCTGGTTCTGCTGTTTTTTACTTCCTTCTACTAATTTTTGCTACGTTTTTGCAAATTTTAGCTTTTTTCTGCTATTTCAGCTTCTTTCTGCTTTTTCTACCTTTTTTGTGCTTTTCTGCAAATTTTTGCTAATTCTGTTCCTTACAGGTTCATTCTGCTATTTTCATCTATTTGCTGCATCTTTAGCTAATTTTCAGCTGTTATTAGCTAAAGTTAGCTTTTTAAACTAAATACAGTTTTTTGTAGCCATTTTAACTTTTTTCTGCTAAGTTCTTCAACCTTAAGCTCCTCATGATTTATTATGCTAATTAAATTATTTCCAGCAACTTTTTAGCTGTTGGCTGTTTTAGCTATTTAACTACAAATTGTCACTTTTTGTACACATTTATGCATTTTTCTTCTGCTAATTTTAAATTTCTTTCACTAGTTGTGTGCTAAGTACAACTTGTGGCTATTTTAACTACAGATCTGCTTCTTTTTGCTATTCTTTTGCTTTTTTCTAATGTTTGTGCTTTTTTTCTGTGAATTTGTGGTATTTATGCTTCTTACAGATATTTTCTGCTCTATTCAGCTATTTTAGCTTTTAGCTGTTTTCTGCTTTTTCATCTATATTTTTGCTCCTTTTTACTGTTTTTTGAGTTGGGCTTTTTTCTTTGAACTATTTAAATTTGAACTTGCAGTAACACTTCTGCCATTAAAAAGCTTCAGCTCAATTTCAGCAGCTTTCAGCTTTTGTTCTCAGCAAGAAGCTTTCACACTAACATCTTCACAGGAAATGGAATTTGTCTAGTTTGAACTAACATGCAGCCCTGTAGGTCTAAGTAATAAAAAAAATACAGTTTGTTTTGTCTCCTTTACGTGATGTGAGCGGTCCATCACTGCTGGCTCCGATGACCGAGGCGGTGGTTAGGAAGTGGTCTGGAGCAGCCCGGGGTCTCCTGATAGTCCTCACAGTTTTACGGACTCTGCTGCCTGGGTTAAGAGGTTCCAGGTCCTCAGGTCTAACTAAGGCCTGAGCAGAAGGAAGTTCTGATGATTCTGACTTCCTGTCCAGGTTGATTGGATCTGTGCTGGACTGGTGCTCTGCAGAGACAAATGAAACCTCATCCACACCCGGTCCTGATCAGGACTCAGCAGGATTAACACCACAGTGATTTTCAGGTTAAACTGACCGGCCGTCAGAACGCGCTGATCCTGGCTGCTGATCGGCATCTTGTCCTTCCAGTTTAGAAAATTAGCAAATTCCACGAAGCTGACGAGTCCGTCCCCGTCTGCGTCGCAGACATGCATCAGGTGGTCCAGAACCACGTCGCTCAGGTCCAGCTGGAACTCGTGACACGCAGCCCGCAGGTCATCTTTGTCGATCATCCCTTTTCCGTTCTGATTAAAAACCAAACTTCAGTTCAAAACCTGTGAAACTGACTGACAGCTTGACTCCATCCTGAACAGGGTGGACTTTAAACGAACATCCGATGAGTTTCACATGAAAGTTGACAGGTTGATAAATGTGTTAGTAAATGTGTAAAATCTGAGTTTTAAAGCTTACTTTGTCGTAATGCTGGAAAGCCTTCAGCAGGGAGGGGAAGTTAGTGAAGTTGAGCTTCTTCAGGTGAAGTCTGACGGCGCTGACCAGCAGGTCTTCTTTCTCCACGTTCGGCTCTGTGAAGTGGATCGTTTCTTTGACTCCTAAAAAATAAACAAGTGGAATTTAAATATTCACTGCCTTCAACTGAAGAGAGTTACAGCTTGTTTTTAATACAAATAATAATAATAATAATAATAATAATCTACCGTATGGACTTGGTAAAACTTTTCCAAACGTTTGTTGAGGTGGAAGATGTAAGGTGTTTCTTCTCCTACAAGAACTGGGGAAATAATAAAGTTAATCCATCATCTATACCCGCTTTTTCCTTTCAGGGTCACGTGGGTCACTGGTGCCCATATCCAGCTGTCACAGTGCGAGGGGCGGGGTACACCCTGGACAGGTCTCCAGTCCATCAGGGTACACCCTGGACAGGTCTCCAGTCCATCAGGGTACACCCTGGACAGGTCTCCAGTCCATC